GGTGTAACAAAGTACCTTTTTACTTTTAACGTTCAATAATTGCCTTGATATTGTGCGCATATTGTGTGAATGGTGTCAGCAAACAGATCCTTGTTTAACAAAATGGTGTAGCAGCCTATCATTTTTCTGCTCATTAAAGTGAAACCCTGGACTGATAAACCCAACAGCAGGAAAACTGATAGGCTCCTTCCCCAGGTTCAAGCATTGTCTGAACCGAATGAGTTTATCTCAACCATGGGCTGTTGCAATGAGAGTTGGTGTCTCTGGAGGAGGATAGGGAGTGCGTGGTGGGAGGTGGAACATCCACTGTACGTTCACCTGATTGTTCAGTACGTCTGCTGGGGAATGCGATGTTACAAGGACCCCGCTGGGTTATAATGTTCCCCTCCCCGTGGAATGGCTTTCGAGCACTCTATCTCAAAGTAGTAAAGTATAAGGTACCAGAGGAGTGACAGACCTAAGCCTGAGTCAGCACCTTCAGAGGAAGAAGAGAGCTACTTAGGTGGAAGTAGAGCAGAGTGAGATGGTTAGTCTTCGTCTACACTGCATTGTAACCTGTCATTGATGGGCTGTTTTGGTTGGGTTTGTGCTTCTTGGGCAATCACCTCACACTTTTCCGCATTAAACTCCATTTGCCACCTCTCAGCCCAGCTCTGCAGCTTACCTATGTCCCTCTGTAACCTGCAACATCCTTCCGCACTATCCACCACTCCACCAACTTTAGTGTCATCCGCAAATTTACTAACCCATCCTTCTACGCCCTCATCCAGGTCATTTATAAAAATGACAAACAGCAGTGGCCCCAAAACAGATCCTTGAGGTACATCACTAGTAACTGAACTCCAGGATGAACATTTCCCATCAACCACCGCCCTCTGTCTTCTTACAGCTAGCCAATTTCTGATCCAAACCGCTAAATCACCCTCAATCCCATGCCTCCGTATTTTCTGCAATAGCCTACCGTGGGGAAGGAGTAACAGGAATACAGAGTACTGGGCTAATGGTAAGATTCTTGGTAGTGTGGATGAGCAGAGAGATCTCGGTGTCCATGTGCATAGATAACTGAAAGTTGCCACCCAGGTTGATAGCGTTGTTAAGAAGGCGTACGGTGTGTTAGGTTTTATTGGTAGAGGGATTGAGTTTCGGAGCCATGAGGTCATGTTGCAGCTGTACAAAACTCTGGTGCGGCCGCACTTGGAATATTGCGAACAATTCTGGTCACCGCGTTATAGGAAGGATGTGGAAGCATTGGAAAGGGTGCAGAGGAGATTTACCAGGATGTTGCCTGGTATGGAGGGAAGGTCTTATGAGGAAAGGCTGAGGGACTTGAGGCTGTTTTCGTTAGAAAGAAGAAGGTTAAGAGGTGATTTAATAGAGACATACAAGATGATCAGATACAAGATTAGATAGGGTGGACAGGGAGAGCCTTTTTCCTCGGATGGTGATGGCTAGCACGAGGGGACATAGCTTTAAATTGAGGGGTGATAGATATAGGGCAGATGTCAGAGGTAGGTTCTTTACTCAGAGAGTAGTAAGGGTGTGGAATGCCCTGCCTGCAACAGTAGTAGACTTGCCAACTTTAAGGGCATTTAAATGGTCATTGGATAAACATATGGATGATAATGGAATAGTGTAGGTTAGATGGGCTTCAGATTGGTTTCACAGATCGGCGCAACATCGAGGGCCGAAGGGCCTGTACTGCGCTGTAATGTTCTATGTTCTAAAGACAGATCTCTCTCTCTCTCTCTCTCTCTCTTTCTCTCTCTCTGTAAGAAAACCAACTCCAAACTAAAGAGCAGTGAAGTACTGTGAATCTGAAATGAACACAGAGCGTGCTAGAGAAACTCAGGTCTGGCAGCATCTGTAGACAGAGAAACAATGTTAACCTTTTGAATCCAGAATGACTCTATTCGGAACTTCGGTCAGTTTCGGAGAGGAGACACTGGATTCAAAACATTAACTCTGTTTCTGTCTCAATAGATGCTGCCAAGCCTGCAGAGATTGTTAAGCATTTCCTGTTCTAATTCCAAACCAAAGACCCTACTGTCTGTAGTTTGAGTATTTGCAGGCAAAGAAGATTCTTGTAGGAACAACTTATGACTAGATACGCTCATGATTTTAGCATTTCATATTGATATGCATTGGCAGGTTTCCTGATTACAGCTCAGTGTTTACACAGTGATCGAGAAGATTTGTAGCTCGGGTTGTGGATGAGGTTGTAGACATGCTCGCCGAGCCGGGGGGGATTTGGTTGCAACCGTTTCGTCACCCTGCTAGGTAACATCGTCAGCGCACCACCGGTGAAGCGTCGGTGTTCTGTCCCGCTTCTTATTCATATGCCTCGGTTTGCTGCGGTGTTTGGTATTATTTCCGGTTTTGTTTCTCAGTGGATTGTACACAGGGTCTAATTCAATGTGTTTGTTGATGGAGTTCCGGTTGGAATACCAGACCTCTAGGAATTCCCTGGCGTGTCTCTGTTCCTGGAGGCCTGGCATTCCAACCAGAATTCCATCAACAAACACATTGAATTAGACCCTATGTACAAACCAATGAGAAACAGAACTGGAAGTGGTACCAAACACCCCAACAAACTGAGGCATATAAATAACAAGCAGGACAGAACACCGACGCTTCACTGGAGGCGCACTGATGATGTTACCTAGCAGGGTGACAAAACGTTTGCAACCAAACCCACCGGCTCAGCGAACAAGTCTACAACCTCGTTTACACAGTGAGTTGGGGATTGGTTGGACCTCTTGGTGGTTTTCCCCATTGTCTGATATCTTGTGCAATCGTCTCAGAATTAAGGAGTGCCAGTTTAAGACTGAGATGAGGAGGAATTTTTTCTTTCAGAGAGTGGTGAGCCTTTGGAACTCCTTACCACAGAGAGCTGTGGGGACAGGGTCCTTGTGTATATTTAAGACTGAAATAGAAGGCTCTTGAGCAGTTGGGGAATGAAGGGCAAAAGGGCAGGAAAGTGGCCGTGAGGAATGTCGGATCATCTATGGTCCTACTGAATGGTGGAACAAGCTTGAGGGGCTGAATGGCCTACTCCTGTTCCTGTTTGTTATGGTTTTACATATAGATAATACATCAGTCTCAGTGACCCTGGTTTAGTGAGGATGCTGAGAGTTTGGTTGTTAGCCAGTGACTGTTGCTAAACAGGTGATGAAGAGAAATGGTGTCTGGGCGAAGATGGTGAAGACAATGCTGAAGCTCACTGTCCTGAAACACACCTGGAAAGAAAAACCACACACAGGTTGGGAAAATCGTCCCAGCCTCTTCGTGACAGCCCAGCTCCTCCCAAAGGGAACTTGTATCTAATCATTTCTCCCTTGTTATTTCTCTTGAGCAACTCACTGCTTCCTTCAGCAGAGGTGAACCAGGTCTCTGACACCTCCTGATATGCCACTTAAAGGGCACATTAGTTAGAGTCACTGGAGATGAGCTTCACTGACCTGATTATGAGCAACAGTAGGAACGTGTGTTAGTAAGCCACCTCTATCAGCAAAATGTCTCAACACTCTTCATATGAGGGCAGAGGGCTTTCCTTGCTTTACAGTCAGGCTTCATGGGATCAGTTGGCCCGTTGAGATATGTAGAAACTGAGAAACGAGATCCTGGCCTAAATCTCACCCAGTGTCAATAGCTGAGCCCTTCACATAATGTGGAACTCGGAGTGATAATCCAAATGAGCGAGGTTCTTTTGGCAAGGAATTGCAAACTCTTCAATGGAGAGATGTGGAAGACAATTCTACCAGAGCAGGTCTCATGTTTAGATGTTGATCAGCTTCTGTTGGGTGTGGAGTGATACATGTTTGACTAATCTAGAAACAATATGCACCCACTCCACATGTACAAAAAAAAAGTGAGCTACAACAGTCAGCAGACACGTAAAAGCAAAGTACTGCAGATGCTGAAGATCTGAAGTAAAAACAGAGAATGTTGGAGAAACTCAGCAGGTCTGGCAGCATCTTTGGAGGGAGAAACAGTGTTAACATTTCAAGTCTGATATGACTCTGCTTTGGATCAGAAGATGGGAATTTAACAATTGCATTAGCTTACTAAGTAATGTACTTATTATCTCCTTATACACCATGCAAGGGAACAATTTCCAATGTTAATAATATATTGTTGAATCTAAAGTAATATATTTATATTCAAAAGTATAAATAAAAATCACTCAATAGATATTAGTAGATGTAATCATTGTGTGCAATTTCTAATGAGTATTCTAATGTATCAGTGCATAAACTTGACCATATTCTATAATAATTAATGCAGATTACTCAAAGCAACCAGTAGGAATTTGATACACAGTTTCCATTTGATAAATAATATAATGGTGTATTTTGTACATGTGGGAAAGTCAAAGTAAATCTTCCATAATAAGTACATAAATATTCACGCGCAGGGCCCTGTTCTTTGTAGGTAAGAGGTGTTTTTCCTACATTGCACTTTTGCAAAGACAGCCAATCCCTGCTGCATTATCTGTGGCAATGCCCTGACCAATCAGAGAGTTTATCTACTTGGTCTAAGTTTAATCAGCTAAGATTGACAGTTAACAGTTTCCGCTGTATCTCCAGTGCCAACATAGTCCAACCAATCAGTTTCCCCTTTCCATGCTGTATAAATTGTTGTTCCCTTTCTATGCTTAGTTTCACGCAGCCCAGTCCCGCTGAATGCAAATCTAAAAAGTTTGACTGTGTGTTTCTTTTTAACATTAATTCCTGTATTTTAAACTTCCCATTGATTCACACAGATCCCTGTTTCGTGTCCATTGGGACCTGTTAAAATCAATCCCTATATACCCACGTTGTGCAAGTGCCCACCACTTAGGAGAAAATAATGTTTAAAAATATCAATATTCGAAACATTTGCTATGACCCAGTAGTGTTTATCTGAACTCAGTTTATTCATTTACTTTGCAAAGGCACTTTAATTTGTTGACATTGCTATGAGATTTATATCAGCCAGCTCTTTTCTTTTTCCTCTTGCAGTTGATGGACCTCCAATGTATCCATCAGGATTCACCCATCTCCCACCTAAGTATCCAGATAAAATGATATTTGATGAGGTAAGTACCATCCAGAGATGGTGGGATCTCTCCATGTCTGGGGTTAGAAGCAGCCTGCTTAAACAAACAGAAAATGCTGGAGAAACTCAGCAAGTGTGGTAGCATCTATGGAGGGAAATGGAGTTAACGTTTCAAGTCTAATGTGACTTTTCTTCGGAACAACTTCTTCTCTAGCCTTTTTTGTTTTACATTTCCAGCATCCACTGTTTTTTGCTTTTATTTCAATTACTTGCTTATCCTGCCCATTGTTCCTCTCTCTGGTGTTTCTTCCCTGGGTTGGTGGATTTGGAATGGTTTGGCCTCAACCCTAGATCTTTCTGTTGTTTTGGTAGACAGTACTGCCACAATGGTCTCCTGGTATCAGCTGCCATGCCAACTCTTGATTCCCTTGTGCATTCAAAAGTTTTTCTTCCTCACTTCTTCCTCACTCTCACCATTGCTGTATTCATGAAGAATCTCATTCTTAACCTCTATCTCTTGCTGCCTCCCGTCCTGCTCTCAAAAACTCTTCTTGGAAACCCTCTTTGGGTGTGCGTTTTGTCAATTCCTTGATTATTCATACTATCTTGCTGCTCCATGTCAGTCCCTCCCTTAGTGAAGCTGCTTTGGGAAATGAAGACAGCATGTGAGTGCAATGTTTCTCATGTAGTGGCTATGTCGACTGTTTGACAAACATTGATGATTAGGTTACATGTCCTGTTGCCTTGTTGTAGCTTTTGTGTTCCCATGGACGTAGAACCAGTTAGCTGCAATGGTTAGGAGTGTCACGCTTAATGGTGCTGGATAGGGTGGGCTCAGTTCCTGTACTGGCTGTGAGAGTTTTTGGAATGTAGCCTCTTCTCTTTGCCCACTCTGTGATTTCATGGCATTGTTTGAGCCTGGATTGGCAACCTTCAGGCATAGAGGGTGCTACATCAGAGAGTGTGCTTTACAAGTATAGGTTAACCGTTAGAATGGCAGAGGAGGCTCAACGGGCAGAATGGCCTACTCATGTTCTTATTTATTATGCTCTTAAGGTCCTAGCGCTCATAAATCATTTCTCCCTTGACTAATTGATTTAGTGTTTCTGAAACAATCATTAATATTGCAGTAATACGTTAGAGAAATACAATTATTGTATAGTAACCTGAAAGTTCAGATGATTTCAATGCATTGGCTGTGCAATTCTTTCGGCTTATCTTCTTCCTCTCCCTCGGCCTTTTCGTTCGACCCTTCCTGCCACCTGTTTACAATTTAAGTTTGAAATTGTTGTTTATGTTGCAACTGCCTCTCACCCCACCATTTAGAGGTAAGACATGTAGAAAATCTCAGTTTTCGTTTGTAGAAACCTGTCTTAAAAATTGGGCAAACAAGGTGTAGAGCTGGATGAACACAGCAGGCCAAGCAGCATCAGAGGAGCAGGAAGGCTGACGTTTTGGGCCTAGACCCTTCTTCAGAAATGGGGGAGGGGAAGGAGGTTCTGAAATAAATAGGGAGAGGGGGGAGGCGGATAGAAGATGGATAGAGGAGAAGATAGGAGAAGATAGAAGATAAGATCCTCTATCCATCTTCTATCCACCTCCCCCTCTCTCCCTATTTATTTTAGAACCCCCTTCCCCTCCCCCATTTCTGAAGAAGGGTCTAGGCCCGAAACGTCAGCCTTCCTGCTCCTCTGATGCTGCTTGGCCTGCTGTGTTCATCCAGCTCTGCACCTTGTTATCTCAGATTCTCCAGCATCTGCAGCTCCTACTATCTCTTAAAAATTGGGCATTTGGGGCTGTAGCTTCGTAAGGTTTTAGCCAGCGCAATACACTAAGAAAGTTCATAATTTTGTTTCATTTTATTGCAGGTTTTTCTCATAAACCTCAAACGACGGCCAGACAGACGGAAGAGGATGCTTCAGGCATTGTATGAGCAGGAGATTGATTGCAAAATAATGGATGCTGTGGATGGGAGGTCAGTTGGCTCAAAAGAGATGGGGGGAAATAGAGTACTGATTATCAACTTAGCAAATCAATAGACAGTGTACATGTAGATTATATGAAGGAAATGGTGAAATGCCAATGGCCTAGTAATTTAGAGTCCAAGCTCATGTTCTGTGGGATAGGCTCAAATCCCAATACTGAGCTCAGTGACATTTGTTTTTAGTAAAATTTGGAGATAAAAGCCAACCTAATGGTGACCATGCATTGATCATCATCAGAATTCATCTGGTTCATGTGTGTCCTTTAGGGAAAGAAATCAGCTATCCTTACCTGGCCCAGCCTACATGTGACTCTAGACCCACAGCACCTGACTCTTCACCACCCTCTGAAATGGGCTAGAGAGCCAATCAGTTCAAAGGCAACTCGAGATGAGCAACAAATGCTAGCCTTGCCAATGATGCCCACTGAGTGTAGAGAGAAGGGCTATATTCCAAGGCCCTAATCTGCGTGCTGTGGGGAATTCAGAGGAAGATTTAAATCATGGAGCGAGTTTTCAGCACCCCATCTAAAGTTTCCCCTGAACTAATGCCACCAAAAAAGAAGTTTGGTACTCATTTATCTTACTGCTGTTTATGGGATCTTCCTGTGAGCTGCATTTCCCCACTTTTCAACAGTGGCTGCACAGATGTAAATCACAGGCTAAGAGGTAATAATATACTTAATTTTAAATCCCTCACCTGCGTAGAGTTAAACTTTGGTCCAAACTGCAGATGCAAGTTCCTTCATGTGTGATGATTAATGCAGGCCCTCACGGACCAAGGTTTGATTTTTGGACTTGGCTGAGTTTGTAAATCTCTGTTAGGTCATTGTTTAGGCCCTAGTAGCTCAGAGGCTCACCTTCTTGGGTTGTATACTGGAAGGTAGACGGTTGGGGATTATTCACAGTGAAGTGCTATGATCTCTTTTAACAATAAAGGTAGTGAGAAGCTGCACGTCCTGAAACTCCCTGTGCTGTAGGTGTTACCCTGATGCACACTCTAGCCATTTGAACTAACTGACCCCCTCCTCCACTTTTGAGAGAGTGAAAACTTCAAGGGTAGTTTCTGCTTTTGCTACACAGTGTGCATAGGCTTTGGGCACTTCGGATTTTTAAAACCTTTTCCAGTTAGAATGATGGCGTGGACAAAGGGCACAAGAGAAAAAGCAGAATATTGAGAGGAGATGCTCTTTCTGGTTAAAAGTTGCAGTAAAGCTAACTCTTTTCCCTACACAGTTAAACATAGAAAATAGGAGCAGGAGTGGGCCATTCAGCCCTTTGAGCCTGTTCCCCCATTCAGTATGCTCATAACTGATCATCCAACTCAGTCCCCTGTTCCCACATTTTCCCCATACCCTTTTAATCCCTTTAGTCCTAAGAGTTCTATCTAAGACCTTATTGAAAACATTAATGTTTTGGCCTCAATTGCTTTCAATGACAGAGAATTACACAGGCTCACCACTCTTGGGTGAAGAAGTTTCTAGGAAGAGTCCTATTGGACGAGAGACATTAACCCTGCTTCTCTCTCCACAGATGCTGCTAGACCTGCTGCATTTCTCCAGCATTCTCTGTTTTTATCTCTTTCCTGAATCTCTGCTGAATCTCCCGCTTGATGTCCCCTACACCCTGCCCAGCATTAACCCTTTTAATCTACTCAGTCCTTAATCAAGTGCCCGAATAAAATATAAAACCAATGGTTTGGAATGGGATGAATGTATCTGTGACCCCAGTGTGCCCACTGTGAGGACGGAAATGAATGAAATCTGAAGCTAATTGATAAAATGTGGCTACACATTTTTTTAAAAAATGAAATCCACCTCAGGCAAGTTGCCAAGTGAAAAATGAGCCAAATGGGGATTTAAAAGAAGCCGACTGAATTTTCTTCCCGTGTGTGGTTCAACAAGTATATGTTTGTTTAATTTATTTGATATTATTCAAAACAGATAATGGATAATGAATGCTGAGAGTAAATTTCAGTTCTCTTGTTGAAGCAATGAAGTTTAATTCAAATTATTTTGATTTGCCAGTTTTCTCCCCTCCTCAGCTGGAGGTACAGACTGAATGCAGGGGTGATGTTGATAAAAGTGCCAGGCGCAAAAGTGACTACTTCTTGGCAAGCTTCTCCACTGTGGGGGCTTCACAACCTTGCCAGATTCAGACCTAACAGGGTTCAGGAACAGGTGCAATTCTCAGTCATTGCCGGATAATTGGAAACAACTCTTCACTGATTATTACCTCTTTCTAGCCCAGGGACCATTGAGTTCAGCTGTAATGCCCCTAACGACAGTTAAGTTTTTTTTATTTGTTCATGGGATGGGTATCACTTGTAGGACCATCTCCCCATGAGGGGAGATCTTATAGAAACATATAAGATTATGAAGGGAATAGATAAGGTGGAGGCAGGGAGGTTGTTTCCACTAGCAGGTGAAACTAGGACTAGGGGGCATCGCCTCAAAATAAAGGGAGGCAGATATAGGACTGAGGTCAGGAGGAACTTCTTCACCCAAAGGGTTGTGAATCTGTGGAATTCCCTGCCCAGTGAAGCAGTTGAAGCTACCTCGCTGAATGTTTTTAAGGCAAGGCTAGATAAATTTTTGAACAGTAAAGGAATTAAGGGTTATGGTGAGTGGGCGGGTAAGTGGAGCTGAGTCTCAAAAAGATCAGCCATGATCTTATTAAATGGCGGGGCAGGCTCGACGGGCCAGATGGCCTACTCCTGCTCCTAGTTCTTATGTTCTTGTTATTGCCCATCCCTAATTGTGAGTTTAAAGAAAGAGTGAATTTCCCCCCAGGGTCTCTTGTAAGGAGTGAGTCTTGTCTTCCTGAACTCTGTTGTTCGTTGAGTTTCATCAGTCAGTGAAAAGCATAGACTGTCTTTCCAGTTGACATTGTTGGAGGCCTCCTTTACCATCAAGGGTACACTTCAAATTCTTCTCAATTAAAATGTTTCTCTCTGTTATTTTACTTTGTATTTTGGTTTTGGTTTGTGGATTCTTCATCATTGATTAGATCAAAGGCTGCGATGGATCGATTTTTGGTCTGTCAGTGAATTGAGAGATATAGGGAGCAGCCGGGAAAGTGCAGTTGAGGCAGAACATTGGCCATGATCGTATTGAATGCTGGAGCAGGCTCAAAGGGCCGAATGGTATGTTCATGCTCCGAGTTCTTATGTTTGTACACTCCCCTCCCCAATCAGTTCATACCTCAGCATAATGACTATTCTCCAGTTGCAAGCCTAGGCAGTAGCTGTAGAGTGACTGCAATTGGATTATTACACGCATCTCAGAAAGGCACTGTATCTTTAAGATAGCTGGATAAAATTAATATAAGGTAATGCTGCCGTATAAGAGGTCTCCATCTTTGTGCATTCAGTCAGTTGTTAGTCTATTAATAAGCAGGCAGTTATAGACCGTCATCTACTTAATGTAGCAGTCATCTAAGTAAATGTAGTTTGCAGACTATATATGTAAGTGTGAGATTAATGAATGAATGAATGGCTTTATTGTCACATATACTCAATGAGTACAGTCAAAAGTTATATACTGCCACTTACAGTACCATCTTAGGTACAAAGGTACTTAGGTACAGCTTCTTTAGTTACAAGATCTCAGAAAATAGAGGAATAAAATGTCCAGCATTGCAGAAATAAAAGTCGAGAACAGTGGTCTTCCAAACCACACCACACTGGTACCTAGCCTCCAGTTAGCGCCAGGCTTCACCTCAAGGATCATGAGGCTGGGCCGGGATGTATCGCTGGAGGCTGGCGGAGAAAAAGGAAAAGCCAACAAGAGGAAAGAAAAGAGAAGAAAAGCAGAAGAACAACGAACGGAGTGGATAAGCTCTGGCTGAAGCGTCTTACTCTGCCACCATCTTGAAGGGGCACTTTATTAGTGTCATCTTACTGTGCATAGTTTGTTAATAAACTTCCAGATACCTGACTTACTGAGAACCCAATTCTTTGTGATATATGTTACCTGAGCTAACATATAGAAAACTATGAAGCATATCCTGGTGGCTGCAAGTGATTACATCAACTTCTTCTGCTTTATCTGCATCTGCCAACATTTACGTGTTTTACATTTGGATGTCTCTCAAAATTATAATAATTTTTACTCAACTAAAACACTTCCTATTCTCATCTAACACCAATACAAAGTAAGTTTGTCATAGGAATATGTGGATCTGCTGCATAAATCTTGGCTGTTTTTTCTCTGCTGTAGCACAGGTTATATAAAGCTAGCTTTAGGACTGCTTTTTCTGAACCAGGCCAGGGGAATGAACATAGCACAGACCGGGGAATGAACATGGAATTCCAGTCAAGAAAATAAAGGCTTGCATTGATATAGCCTCCTACGTGATCTCGGGAAGCTCCCAAAAATCTTCACTTATCTTTTGAGGTGTTGTTTCTGCTATTGTTTCCCAAAAGCACTTAGTTTTGTGCACAGCATTTAGCCCAGATGTTAGTGAGATGAATGATTTGATTAATCTAGTGTGGGGTTTGGCCAGACCATAGGGAGAACTTGCCGTTCTGCTTTACAGAGTAACATGGGATCTTTAATCAGGTTAGCAGACAGTCAGCTTAGCATTGCATCCAAAAGAAAGAGCAGTTCCAGCGATAAATTACAATGTAGTATTGGCTTAGATAATGTGGTCAAAGCCACTGGCAGGGTAGGGCTTAAACCCCTTAACTTCTGTCTGGCTGAAAGTTGATAGAGTTACCATGATGACGCTTACTCTCAGTGGGGCTGTGTGCATTTCATTTATTTGAGGGCAGATAAACTATTTGCTGACATTCTCAATTTGTTCTCCTCAGTGCTCTTAACAGCAGCACTATAAAATCAATGGGAATCAACATGTTACCAGAATATTATGACCCATTCTCTGGCAGAACTCTAACCAAGGGAGAAGTTGGATGTTTTCTTAGCCACTATTCCATCTGGAAAGAGGTAAGTGTCTCTGCTGTACAGGCTTTGCAGACATTTTTTTTTCTTTAAATTGCTGTGTTTTTGTTCTGGATTTACTGTCTGAAATCTTATGATTCAAAGTTAGAAACACAGAAGAGTTTACTTCATTAAATCGTGCAGTGTCTAATATATAATCTCTGGAACGTTCTGCTGGTCGTGGCTATTTGCATTTCAAATTTGTATTGCCAAGTATATTTAATGGGGGCGTTGGCAGACATTAAAATGTGTGGAGTTTTGACCATATATGGGTTTCTTCTGGCCTGGAAGTGCTGAGTCATGTGTCAAGCAGTTGTCTTGGTGCTGGCATCCATTTCCTACTTCAATAAAAGATAACTTCTTCATATATGTGTATGAGCAGTGTGCTCCAGCGAGAGGGGGCCATTACAAGTCACCTCAATCCTCCCAGTTTCCAACACTGTACTGTAGCCAGGGACAACATCTCTGCTTTGATCTTTCCTTTGCTTTGAAGGCTTGAACCGTTGAATTCACTTCCCGAGGCTGTGGTTAGCCAACTTGGCACAGACCAGAGATTGAATTTGGGCTACTCTGACATCTTACTCAGTATGGTGCCAGAATCCCACTAAGCCCATCAAGGAATCCTTCACTTTTAACCAACTTGTGCAAGATGCTTCAAATTCGCCATTAACAGGTGCTAGTGTTGGCCCCGATTTTGGCAGGACAGTGCAAACTGGTATTGGACTGCATAGGTCACCTACAACCCTCCATCTCTGCTGAGCTAGTTGAACCCAGTTCATGAGAATGAGCCTCAGTGCTTGGTAATGGTTTCCATTTACATGGTAAGTCCTGATACATGATTTTATCATCTTAGTCTCTGTTATGCGTCAAAACTACCCCCAAATCACGTCTTGAGTTAGATCTCACCTTCCGCTAATATTCAGACGCAGAAGGGTCCTGACCCGAAAGGCCAGGTTTCCTGCTCCTCTGATGCTGCCTGGCCTGCTGTGTTCCTCCAGCTCCACACTGTGTTATATCTATACACCACATGAGCACTTGTGTCACTAATGGCCGGAAGTTCAAGGTCAGGAGGGCAAAACTTGTCAGATTTTTCCCATTCCAAACCAGAAGCACTTATGTAAATTGTAACCCCAGTACTGCCCGTGTTGGTGGGACTAACTTAGCACAGGCTACAAAATGACCCTGGGATCTTCTGGTCACTGAGTTAACAGGCTTCTCAGGCATAGTTTTTGCCAATTAATTAGATCCTGGCTGATTCACACTTCAATTGCATGGCCTTTATTCCGTAAAATTTAATATCTTTATCTGTTGAAAATATATCTACCTCAGTCTTAAAAGTTCCAAAGGCCTGAGCCTCCACAGCTTCTTAGCAGAGAGAATTCTAGATTTCTGCTACCATTTGTGTGACAAATGGTTCCTGGTTTCTGTCCTGACTGGTGAGAGTCTTCAATTTGAATAACCTATCCCTACGTTCTAGATTTCCTGTACCACTGGAAATAGTTTCTCCCAGTAACTCCATGTGACTTCCTAAGCACGTCCAGCAGAGAATCCTTCAGATTTCTATAACCAGGGAATAAAAGACTAGTGGCTACACCCTGTTCTTATAATTTGAAACTCTTTGATATGACACCATCCTGATGAATCTCCACTGCAAGCCCTTCAAGGCCTACTTATTACACTGTGATCACAGGTTGTGGATCGAAACCTGAGCAAGGCTGTGGTGTTTGAAGATGATGTGAGGTTTGAGGCTTACTTCAAGAGGAAGCTGGTGAGACTGCTGAGAGAAGTAGAGGATGTTGGATTGAATTGGGACCTTATGTAAGTAATCATTAGCGATACTGAATTTAATGGATGTATTCAGTTACCTATATCAGCACCAATCACATGGACTAATATCAGTCTCATGGAGGTGGGCTGGGCTGCAGTTTGGGGGCAATCGGAGAGGAGTTTCCTGTTTTATTTTTCCTATTGCCCTGGATCATTTCCAGTTTTTACCCCTCCCAGGTGATTATATAGCTCTGGATGGTTAAGGGTGAGTGCATGCATTGGGGCGTTTAAGATATTTGTAGCCCTTTTGGTTGAATGAACCATTCGAACTGCCTGTGATTTCTGTATGAGTTGTACATTTTTGTAAATGATATCTGCCTCTGTCTTCCTCCGTGTGTCCATTTCTATATCGTGTGTATGTCATTGTATTCACCCCCACCTTCCTTTTATATAAAATACGAAGCGGATGGAGAAACTCAGTGGGTGTGGGAGAGAGAGTCAGTGTTCAAATTTTGAGCCCAGTGTGTACTGTCCTTTAGAACTCATTCTTTTGTCTTTATCTTTCATTTCTGTGTCACGCTCTGTCCATCTCATACCATAGGTGACTGCAAGGTTTCTTGCCAGTTCCAGTCCTGGTGTCAAATACACTGTCACTATCTAGCAGAGATTGTAATGCGGGGTGACAACAACTTGCATTTATATAGCACTTTTATGACCAAAGAGACTCGTCAGGAGTGTTATCAAGGAAGATTTGACACTGGCCCACATGTGGAGAAATCAGGACAGGTGAGAAGAGCAGGAAGGCTGAAGAAGGGTCTAGGCCCGAAACATCAGCCTTCCTGCTCCTCTGATGCTGCTTGGCCTGCTGTGTTCATCCACCTCTACACCTTGTTATCTCAGATTCTCCAGCATCTGCAGTTCCTACTATCTCAGGACAGGTGAGCTAGGTTTTCAGGGGAATGCGAAAAGAGGAATGGTAGGGAAACTGGGAAAGGAAGGAAGGGGGTTACAGCAATAGCTGCCAATGGCCAGGGTGAAGAGACTGTGGTTGACTTTTCCACTAGCCCCACCAGGTTTGTCACTACATGGATCCCCAATGTGTCAGCAGCTTCCTGCATCCACTACCTCTTCTGTTCCTGTCATTCAGGTGCCTAGTAACGTTCAGCCCATCGAGTACAAAAGCCAGGAAATTAAAGGAACAAATTACTGCTAATAACTGGAACCTGTACTGAAAACAAAAATTGCTGGAGATCAGTGAATTAGGCAGCATCCATGGAGAGAGAGCAAGCTAACGTTTCAAGTCTAGATGACTCTTCATCAGAGCTGACGTGATGTAAATGCTGCCCCCTCCACACCTCACATCGGCTCTGATGAAAAGTCATTTAGACTCAAAATGTGAGCTTGCTCTCTCTCCATGGATGCTGCCTGACCTGCTGTGATCTCCAGCATTTTATTGTTTTCCACCAGGAAGTTAATTTCAGTATGAATTTGATCCCATTTGGAGTATTGTGCCCAATTTTGGGCACTACTTGGTTGGAAAGGCGGGTAATCTTTGCTGCATGGAAGGAAGAGATTTACTAAAATGGGTCCAGGCATGAGTTTCATTACAGTTACATAGACTGGAGAAACTGGGGTTGTTCTCCTTTGAATTAAAAGGCAATTGATAGAGGTGTTTAAAATCACAAACGCTCAAATAAGTAAAGAGAAACTGTTTCCTATGGTTGAAGGATTGATCCCCAAGGGTACAGATTTAAGGTAATTGACAAATTAACCAGATGCAAAATGGAATGCAATTTTTAGCATCGGGGAATTGTAGATTGCTTAGGATTCAAAACGCTGTGCCTGATAGAATTAACAGCAGCCTTCAAACTTCCTACAGACAAAGGGGGGTGGCCGTGGGTACCCGCATGGGCCCAAGCTATGCCTGCCTTGTTGTAGGTTACATGGAAAAATCCCTCTTCCGAAGTTACACTGGCCCTGTCGCCCACGTCTTCCTCCGTTACATCGATGACTGTATCGGCGCCGCCTCGTGCTCCTACGAGGAGCTCGAACAGTTTATCCACTTCACCAACACCTTCCACCCCAACCTTAAGTTCACCTGGACCATCTCTGATACCTCTCTCTCCTTCCTGGACCTCTCTGTTTCCATCTCTGGCAACCACCTGGAAACTGATATCCATTTCAAGCCCACCGACTCCCACAGCTACCTAGAATACACCTCCTCCCACCCACCTTCCTGCAAAAATGCCATCCCCTATTCCCAATTCCTTCGCCTCCGTCGCATCTGCTCCCAGGATGAGGCATTCCACTCCCAAAAATCCCAGATGTCCTCGTTTTTCAAGGACCGCAACTTCCCCCATCAGTGGTCGAGAACGCCCTCGACTGTGTCTCCCGCATTTCCCGCAACTCATCCCTCACACCCGCTCCCTGCAATAAGAACCAAAACAGAATCCCCCTTGTCCTCATGTACCACCCTACCAACCTCCGGATCCAACGCATCATCCTCCGACACTTCCGCCATCTGCAATCCAACCCCACCACCAAAGACATTTTTCCCACCCCACCCTTATCTGCTTTCCGGAGGGACCACTCTCTCCGGGACTCCCTTGTCCACTCCACACTCCCCTCCAGCCCCACCATCCCCGGCACTTTTCCCTGCAACCGCAGGAAGTGCTACACCTCCCCCCTCACCCCCATCCCAGGCCCCAAGAAGACCTTCCACATCAAACAGATGTTCACCTGTACATCTGCTAATGTGGAATACGGAAATCCGCTGTACCCGGTGTGGCTTCCTCTACATCGGGGAAACGAAGCGGAGGCTCGGGGACCGCTTTGCGGAACACCTATGCTCGGTTCGCAATAAACAACTGCACCTCCCAGTCGTGAACCACTTCAACACCCCTCCCATTCCTTAGACGACATGTCCATCCTGGGCCTCCTGCAGTGCCACAATGATGCCACCCGAAGGTTGCAGGAACAGCACCTCATATTTCGCTTGGGAACTCTGCAGCCCAATGGTATCAATGTGGACTTCACAAGCTTCAAAATCTCCCCTCCCCCTACCGCATCCCAAAACCAGCCCAGCTTGTCCCTGCCTCCCTAACGTCCTTCCTCCCACCTATCCCCTCCTCCCACCTCAAGCCCCACCCCCATCTCCTACCTACTAGCCTCATCCCACCCCCTTGACCTGTCCTTCCTCCCTGGACTGACCTATCCCCTCCCTACCTCCCCACCTACACTCACCTTTACTGGCTCCATTCCCACCTCTTTGACCTGTCTGTCTCCTCTCCACCTATCTTCTCCTTTATCCATCTTCTATCCGCCTCCCCCTCTCTCCCTATTTATTTCAGAATCCCCTTCCCCTCCCCTATTTCTGAAGAAGGGTCTAGGCCCGAAACGTCAGCTTTCCTGCTCCTCTGATGCTGCTTGGCCTGCTGTGTTCATCCAGCTCGACGCCTTGTTATCTCAGCCTTCAAAAGGGAACTGGTTAAATTACTGAAAGAAAAAATTATGCGAGGATATAGGGAAAGAGCAGGAGTGTGGAGCTAGCTGGATTGTTCTTCAAAAGAGCCAGTAGAGATATGATGGGCTGCTCGGTCTCCATCTGTGTTATGCTATTCAATGTTTTTAAAGCCATGCATGAGTCACCCAGCAACTAACAGGCTCAAATTTCTTACTTTAAAAGCAGTGTAGGAGCCAGGTCTTCCTCACTCATTATGTCTCTGGATGACCTCAGCCAATTATTTATGGTTGAAACTTCAGAGTGGAGGAGGAAATTTCTTTAGAATTTTTCAGGAAGGGCAAGTATGAAGCTTAGAGAAAATAAGTGTTTTTAATTTTCCAGCTACCTTGGTCGGAAACGAGTGAATCCCAAACAAGAGGAGGCTTCAGCTAATGTTCAGAATCTGGTGGTCGCTGGGTATTCCTACTGGACTCTGGCTTATGCCATTTCACAGCAGGGAGCCAAAAAATTGATCGACTCTGATCCGTTGAAAAAGATACTTCCTGTGGACGAGTTCCTGCCCATCATGTACGACAAGCACACAAAGTGAGTCCATTGCTATTCATATGCAACATGCAGGTCTGAATGAGACAATCTCTGTAACATAGCCACCAGTGTCTGTTTTCTTCTTATTCATTGGCAAAGTAATGCCTATCATTTAGGACACACCCAATACAGAAACAAAGGCGAGAAGCTATATATTGGGATGTAGAGGTGGAGTGGCAAGGGGCAAGGCCTTTTTTTCCTCCCTGGGTCTGGTGAGCAGAAAGAATTCCTGGTTTTTCAAAACCAACCTTTAAAATTGCAAGAGATAACAAGTGTAGAGCTGGATGAACACAGCAGGCCAAGCAGCATCATAGGAGCAGGAAGGCTGACGTTTCGGGCCTAGACCCTTCTTTAGAAATGGGGGAGGGGAAGGAGGTTCTGAAATAAATAGGGAGAGAGGGGGAGGCGGATAGAAGATGGATAGAGGAGAAGATAGGTGGAGAGGAGACAGACAGGTCAAAGAGGCGGGGATGGAGCCAGTAAAGGTGAGTGTAGGTGGGGAGTTAGGGAGGGGATAGGTCAGTCCAGGGAGGAAGGACAGGTCAAGGGGGCGGGATGAGGTTAGTAGGTAGGAAAAATGTGGTATCCACTGTACCCGTTGTGGCCTCCTCTACATTGGGGAAACCAAGCAGAGGCTTGGGGACCGCTTTGCAGAACACCTACGCTCGATTCGCAATAAACAACTGCAACTCCCCCTCCCATTCCTCAGACGACATGTCCATCCTGGGCCTCCTGCAGTGCCATAACGATGCCACCCGAAGGTTGCAGGAACAGCAACTCATATTCCGCTTGGGAACTCTGCAGCCCAATGGTATCAATGTGGATTTCACAAGCTTCAAAATCTCCCCTCCCCTTACCACTTCCTAAAACCAGCCCAGCTCGTCCCTGCCTCCCTAACCTGTTCTTCCTCCCACCTATCCCCTCTTTCCACCTCAAGCCGCACCCCCATTTCCTACCTACTAACCTCATCCTGCCCCCTTGACCTGTCCGTCCTCCCTGAACTGACCTATCTCCTCCCTAACTCCCCACCTACACTCACCTTTACTGGCTCCATCCCTGCCTCTTTGACCTGTCTGTTTCCTCTCCACCTATCTTCTCCTCTATCCATCTTCTATCTGCCTCCCCCTCTCTCCCTCTGAGGGTTGGTGTGGACTTGTTGGGCCGAAAGGCCTGTTTCCATACTGTAGAGATTCTATGATTCTAAACCGGCTAAAGTCTGTAACAGTTATAATTCATGATATTATCACTTTGGTTACATCTGAAATTTGCTATGATCAGTGGAGGAGTGGGACTATAAAGGCTCTGGTGCATCCCTCCAACCTCAATCATAATTATACAATGAGGAGTCTTGATTTAAACACTGTGACAATGCAATGAAGATCTTGTGTGGCAATGGGTAGCTTCTGCCCCTCTGAGACAGAAACTGTTGAGTTTGAGTCCTCCTCTGGGACTTTACAGCCACAGAAGGCACATTCTTAATGATATCAAACAGGTTAAATATCAATCTGAAAATCCTTCCATTATACCTGTGGCTGGGTGTGGTAGCAGGAGGGCTACATGGTAACTGCAGAGCAACAGCCTCCTTACATTAAAAGACTCCATGTGTAGGTTCCTGCCATAGGTTCCTCAGCAAGCAGACTTCTCACTTCAAGGTAAATCTGGGAGGGGAGAGAGAGAATGTAGCAGCAAGGAAAAATTGTATCATCTGATGTACAGTTGGTGCTCAAAGGATCAAGAAAAGGAAGTTCTGAGGAACAGTGATCTGAGTGGTATCAATAAAAGCAAGGGGCATGAAAAGAGGCAATCAACTCAGACTAGAAGTGAGAGAAAGTTTCCTTTGCAGACAATAAGTTTCCTCTTACTTCTATTACAGAAGTTGGAGACAGCTGCTAAAAGGGACTTTGAACAGAGACTAATTTTGTTCCTCAGTGCTGTTCTCTTTGCTATCCACTGATTATTACTCACAGGTTCTCTGGATTAACAGGCTTACATCCAAACACTGTATATAGCCAGAGTGAAATGTGTTGAACCCAAGGAGATGATGTTGAGTTTACTTAAAGCACAGGGCTGGTCTTACTTTTGAATTCTCAGCAATATGATAATGATCATCACTAGCACAACAGCCAACACTACAACCGCACCTTGAACAGAGAAAAATGTCCCAAAGGTATAAGCGGGAAGGGCAGGCTTAAGGGAGGTGGCAGAAGGAAGGAATTGAAGGGGTAGATTTTAAGGAGGCATTCAGAGCCTGGGGTAAATTCAGGAAGAGGGAGTCCCAGCGAGAATGAATGTATTATGGTGGTGGAAAGCTTTGCCGTTTTGCAGTGGAGGAAGACAGGGGTGCACAGCAGACCAGAGTGAGAGGACAATGTCTGGTGGAGTGGGGGAAGTGAGTTGGGAGACCAATTTGAAAGAAGTTATGAAGGTAATTCAGGTCAGGACCATGGAATGATTTTTAAGAGGTCAAAATGATGGAAAGTATAGCTTAAGGACTGGATCTTGTGTAAGCTGGAATGTAGATTGTCAGTAGATTAAGGAAGACCATATTTGGAGCTATGCAACAGAGTTTCACTGATAGCGGAGTGGCTGTTATCATGGAGCTGAAAATTGATGACATTGATGATGAACAGAAGTGTGAGCTTGAAAGCAAAACTCAAAACCAGAAAAAAAAATTGAGCTATGCATATTCGGATTCACCCTGAGCAGAATAAAATCTGGCTCCCATTAATGAGTTTGCAAATTAGTACCAAACTGTCTGGTAGATGTGTTGAGGAAAATTGTGGTCTGTTGGTTTCAGGCAGCTGTAGAGCTGAAAGTGGTGTTGGTGAGGCAACCCTAAAATGTTCAAGGCATTTTCACATGAGTGTACCATTTATAACACCTCAATACTGAAGCTGTCCATCCCTGCGTGCAACAAGACCTGGACTACACTCAGGCTTGAGCAGTTAAGTGGCAAGTTACAATAGTGCCACGCAAATACCGGGCAACAATCATTCCCAATGAGACTGAATCTAACCATCTTCCCTTGACATTCAACAGCATTTCCACCGCTGAATCCTCCACCAGCAGTACCCTGGGGGTTACCATTGACCGAAAGCTGAACTGGACCAGTCATACAAATACTGTGGCTACAAGAGCAGGTCAGAGGCTGGGAATCATGTGGCGAGTAACTCACCTCCTAACTCCCCAGAACCGTCCACAATCTATAAGCCACATGTCAGGAGTGTAATGGAATACATTTGTCCCTTTAAATGCCGAATGTGCTTTTCAAAAGTGGCGTGCTAAATAACCTAAACCTAAATCTCTTTCCCATAAGAAAGCATGTAAATAAGCGTGGGTTATGTTTCTGACTGGCTGCCATGAACCTAATTGGCCCAAAGATCATCTATCTATGGTAACTTAAATTCTTGCTAAGAATAATTCTACTATTAACTCTTATTAACTTAAACTCTTTCGACATAATTCCTGCTTCCAGTCTCCCAGTCACCAGTTCCATCCCTACTCACCACTAAGAGCTGGCTATTGGGAAGCAGTGAGGGTTTAGGAGATGGAAGTGATGAGCAGGAGGGAGAGGGGTAGAAGCTCTGCCTGGGAGGGGCACTTTGTTTTAAAATGTGACTGAGCATGAGCGGTAATCTTGTACAAACAGAAATGAACACGTCTCTATTCAGGGAATCTGTCTGATAAAAGCATTCTAAACACCACACTAATACAAAATCACACAACATGATTTAGATAGAGTTACTTGTACTGTCCATCTGTCTGGCTGAGTGCAGTTTCAATATTATCAAGCTTAACACTAAATAGGACAAAGCATCCCATCTATCCTTCCATCATTTGATACTCAATAACAGCAGTGTGTACCATCTACAAGGTGTGCTGCAGAAATTCACCGAGTCCTTAGATAGCACCTCCTGAACCCATGTCCTCTATCACACAGAAGGACAAGGGCAGCAGGTTCAGGCATGTTACCTGCATGTTCCCCTCCTAGCCACTGACCTATCCTGACCTGGAACCATATCACCGTTCCTTCACTGTTAATGGCTCCAAATCCTGGGACTTGTTCCCTAACAGCACTATGGGTGTACCCACCTCTATGAGTGTCATCATTTCAAGAAGGCAGTTCACCACCACCTTCTCGAGGGTAACAAGGTACAGGCAATAAATGCTGGTGCAGTCGGTGACACTGACATGCTGAGATCAATTTAAAATCAGTTGTGAACCACTTAGATCAGTAAGTGAAAGGGGATTATTGCTCCTGATAGAGTTTTTGGTTACAACATTTGGATATGTCAAGTTTCTTGAACAGTGATGATCAGGAATTTAAGAATGTAATGAATTTGTATGCACTTTGATGAGAGACATAAGGAGTTATAGAGGGTGGAGTGTTCAAACAGGGAGAAAGCAGCAGAGGAATTATGAGCTTAGTTCTGAAGAAGAACTATTCTGGACTCGAAACGTAAACTGTTTCTCTTTCCACAGATGCTGCCAGACTTGCTGAGTTTTCCAGAATTCTGTGTTTGTTTCAGATTTCCAGTCTCTGCAGTATTTTGCCTTTATGGTTGTAATTAACCTGGAGAGGAGAGAAACAGCAAGCTGTGACGTTGCACTGAACTTTGGGATTGGCCACTAGGACTGGAATGGTCCTGCTCTTGCTGTTTATTTCAGTACCTTAAATCTGTCAGCTGTTAAGTAACATAGCAGAAGGTCCGAAAGAAATGTAGGAGGAAAGGAATCTGGAGTAACCAGGCATCGTTACTAGCATTGAGCAGAATGTCTGGAAAATTGATGTCACTGTTAAACTTCTGCAATAAATTACAAGTTGTTGTTGAAGTGCAGGAATTCAACAGGGAAGGAAAATTCCTTTAGCCTTTGTGAGATAATCTTTTCTCTCTGAGGAAAGGAGGTCATCTGCTGGTCAAGTTGACTCAACTGTGGTTGAGATCACAGACTTACAGCAGGTAGCAGGTATGCCTGGGTCTGAAGAAATGTTGCCCAGT